TTTGGATCTAAAACTTTTTTTTTAAATTTTAAGTCTTACAAGTAAAGTGGAGGCAAGGACGATTGAACCTACAACCTATGAAAACTCAACACATGACTCTTACCATGAGTGCTCCTATGGTACACCTTATGTGTATACCATTTTTGTGGACCTTCTCACATAAAAAAAAATTATTAAAAAAAATACTTATTCAAGTAGTAAGAAAATACTTATTTTCCTCATATGTAGGTCCATGATGGACCTTGGACCCACCATAGAATTTCTCTACCATATGAGCTAGTACACCATTTGTTTAATGTGTCCTACAATATGTTATACATGGGCTTTTATACGTTAGGGTCATGTTATATGGATTTTTATAATTGAGAAAAACTTCCAATTAAGAGAGTCATCCCGTGTAATGTATTTATATTATGAAATTCTAAATTATTTCAAAGATAAACGCATTATTTATTTTTGTTGAAAAGTAAATATAAATAATTCATATCTAAAATATCATTTTTAAAAATTTAGTGTAGATAAATATTTACGGAAAATTTTAATATGCTACAAAAGAAATCTCCGTATGTAGTACTATAAAACCACTAATATTACATAAATAGCACTCCCTTAGTTTTTTTTGACTTAAATGGGAATTCCAGCATGAAGGCATTCCAATTATACCCTCTTAATAAATTTTTTGACTTCCTTAGTTTAAGAGTTGGGTTATTCTTTTTCCGTAAATGTAGCAATTAGGTTTTATGCATTCTTTACACAGTTGTGCCACTCAAACTCTCTATGACGGCAGTGTGGCGGCAATGGTGACTATGTGGCTGAGGTGGTGGTGATCCTGATGGCAGTGTGATAATGACAATGATAATTTGACGGGATAGTGGCCATGAGGTGACAGGGTTGGAAGTATGGTGGGGGTGGTAGTGTGGTGGTGGTGATGATGATAGTGTAGCGGCGGGGACGGGGAGGCAGTGTGGTGGTGGGTCAGACAGTGTGGTGACGGAGGATTGTAGTGCGGCAGAGACGCTGATGTTGTTCATAATAGTGACAGCAACGTGCATGGTGATGGTGGCAGTGTAGCGAGGGTGGCAGTGTGGTGGTTATGGTGGTGG